AATTTAATCTGCACATAATGGCGGGAAAAGCAATTAACTGTGGAAATAGACAGGCAGCTTCTAATGAGAGCAGGTGTGCGAAGAGCTGATTGAAAAGATAGATGCTAATGCATACTGTATACATGATTAATGCCTTTTACTAGTGTCAAATACATACTGAAATCATCTGCATATGGTTTGCTTTGTCATCATATATATTCCAAGGCACAAGGATAAAAACGAGAAGTGTATTAAGTGAGCAACAAGGCAAGAACTTTATATGTAATCAGTGTAGATCACGAACAGTCAACAACTGTGTAATGTGTGTTACTCCTGAGACATGCAGCGTGCTTGTTATACGGTGTTATTGCCTAGTACAGTCGTTTACTTTGATTGCTGAGTTTCGTAGTGCTTCAGTGCATAATAATCACACACTAATGGAAATGTTTGTTTGATTATGTCTGATGTGCAAGTCAAATTTTGTTGGTATCTCAAAGGATCGAAGTGAGTAGGTGAAGTGGAAGCCACAAGATTAAAAATTGAACCATAACATCCAGACCTCCCCCTCAAACACACACACACACACACACACACACACACACACACACACACACACACACGCATGTTGTGTTTCCATGTTTTATGGGGACATTCCATAGGTGTAATGGTTTTTATACTGTACAAACTGTATGTGCTATTGCCCTACACCAACCACTCTCCATAGGCGTAATGGTTTTTACACTGTACAAACCGTATTTTCTATTGCCCTACACCTAAACTTACCCCTCACAAAAAACTTTGTGCATTTTTAGATTTTCAAAAGATTTTTTTGGTATGTTTTTAAAGCCTTTTGAATTATGGGGACACTGAAAGTGTCCTCATAAATCACCTTCACATTGTAATACCTATGTCATACCCATGTCATTATACAAATTTGTGTCCTCATAAACCACATAAACATGCTTTTTCTCTCTCTTTAATTACAACTATTCTACAATCACAATCATTCTACAGTCAAAAACAACACTGATTTAAGGGGATAGGTCACCCAACATTTTTATTTCTATCATCATTTACTCACACTCAAGTCTTTTCAAGTATCAACATTGGACTAGAGATGTAACGGCATGAAAATGTATTATCACGATTATAGTGACCAAAATTATCACGGTTATCAGTATTATCACAGTATTGTTAAAATGTTCTGGAAATGTTCAAAAAGTACAGACACATCTATTGTTTCACCAAGCTTTATATTTTAAATCAACAAACAACAAATAAAATGACTTTTTGTTTGCATAAACACTAAAACAATAACATTACCAATGATGTGCGGATTTTAAATGACAACATGACTGACAAATAACATGTATGACATGTTCGAATAAAACTTTGAAAAGGTTTCATAAAATGGTAAACCTCACATTTCAGCCTTTAAATAAAGAAAAAGGGTTAAGTCAAAATGATAATTGATTAATAAATGATTACATGTATTTTATCTGCTCCATAAGTAATTCTAGATAACTTATCTGAATTGTTTAAATGTGTAGAATCCATAAGCTTGTTTTTCATCAACCGGTCAAAATTTACAGCAAGGCATGCAAACTCGGTCCGTTTTTTGGCCAGACAGAAACTGCACACAAGCTGAATGTAAATGTAACTCTCTGTAAATCCACTCTCTGACACTAGGTGGCGCTCATGGAACAGCAGAATAACAGCTGTTTCCCGTAACCTCGGTGGACAAAGCAGCATTGCTATTAAGAACACTACTTTATTATGGAGCGAAGATGAAAACAATTCTACTCTGCGTGCTGTGCGCATATGAGACTGTTATTAAAACTGTTTTATACTGCATAGCATTTATTTATCCTCAGTTGTTCAAATCGCAGTAATTGAATAGAGTTTTAATGATAATTAAAATATGAAACGGTAATAACCGTGGGGAATTTTATCATGCTTTATCGTCAAACCGGTATTCATTCCATCCCTACATTGGACTATATGGGTGAAAAATGAAAGAAAGTCATATAGGTTTGGAATGACACGAGGGTGTGTAAATGAGGACAGATTTAAAATTTTTGGGTGAACTGTCCCTTTAAGAACAGAAATGTCCACATGGACAGCAATTCCTATTGGTTTACTGAGCTTCTTTAAATCTGAATGTATTAAAATATGTTAGCCTGAGTTTGAAATACAACACACACACACACACACACACACTTGAAAGAAAGGTTCTTCATATTTTCAGGATTGTGTCAGCTAGATCTATCTATCTATCTATCTGCTGACATTTAAGCGAACACTTAAAATTTTCAGTTCAACTTTTGACTTAAATGGTTATATAATTTGCATTCAAATATTTGCTGTTCATTTTTTAAATTGCAAATTAAAAGCATTTCCACTCTTGGTCTCAGACCTCACTGTACATAAAAAGACCATTCCAGGGTACAGGATGTTATTTGTGGTCGGGCACACTGGTTTGAACATCACACTTCCATGTCAAATACATGGGCTGCTGAAGTGCTTGCTGCTCTATATGATGTTTTTCATCCATTTTTAATCCAGCAGGCCCCCTGGTGGTCATTCTTAGAAAACCCCTCTCATATCCACCCTTCCCCCATGAACATCTCTGTCTGTGGAAAATCCATGTGCATAATGGAAGGGATTCTTTCCTTCTCAGCAGCTGTGATGTTGCAGTGCAGAGCTGATTGTCTTCAAGATCAATCTTTTATGAATGCTGTCAGTGCTTCATGCTTTAAGCACACAGCTGAAGTGCAGTTATAAACTATGCTTTGATGATTGACAGATCTCAGGTGTATCTTGATTGTGTATCAGCTCAGATGGGCTTCTGTAGGACAAACAAAGCTGCTGTTTCTCTGTATGGCCTTAATACACAATCACAACACATGAAGCAGAGCAACAGTGTGTATGGAGTTGAATGACTGCCATTTTCATACTCAGTACAATTATACACTTAAAAGTATGAGTTAAAACGGAACTGAAATGCTCAGTTCTTATAATGTTCTTGTCCAATGTTAGTTTTGTACAGTCTGTTCCTTTGTTTCTGTGGTGAGGTTTGCATGGCTTTTGTTGGGGTTTAGTGCCATCTGCTGGATAAAAGCAAGTATGAACTAATACGCTTGGATACAGCACTCTGTGAACAACCAGCTTTTTTAGCAATGAACTTTTGTGGCTTACCTTCCTTGTGGAGGGTGTCAATGACTGTCTTCTGGACATCTGTCAAGGCAGCAGTCTTCCCCATGATTGTGTATCCTACTGACCCAGACTGAGAGACCATTTAAAGCAGGGGTGCCCAACCCTGCTCCTGGCGATCGACTGTCCTGCAAAGTTCAGCTCCAACCCTAATCAAACACACCTGAAGCAACTAATTAGGGTCTTCAGGATCACTTAAAAATTAAAGGCAGGTGTCTTTGATTAGAGTTGGCGCTAAACTTTCCAGGACAGTTGATCGCCAGGACAGGGTTGGGCACCCCTGATTTAAAGGCTCAGGAAACCTTTGCAGGTGTTTTGAGGTAATTAGCTGATTAGGGTGTGACACCATGACTTTACAATATTGAACTTTTTCATAATATTCTAATTTTCTGAGACACTGAATTTTGGGTTTTCATTATCTGTAAGCCATAATCATCAATTTCAAGAAATAAAGGCTTGAAATATTTAACTCTATATGTAATGAATTTATATAATATATGGGTTTCACTTTCTGAAATGAGTGATAGATAATGTACCTGTATATGAGTTTGCGTTGCCTTTTACTGTTGATACAGAGATATATTGATTTAAGTTTGATTTGACCACCATTTGGTCCTGCTGTTTGTGTTTCAAGCATTGACGTGTTTTTACTTTTAATAAATGATAAAACGGGGCAAAAAAAAAAAGGGTATACAGTGCTGTGAAAGTTTTTGCCCCTTCCTGTTTTTTGTTGCATATTTGTCACACTTGAATGATTCAGATCAAACAAATTTTATTACACAAAGATAACCCGAGTAAATACAAAACACAGTTTTGAAATAATGATTTCATTTACTAAGGGAAAAAAGCTGTCCAAACCTGCCTGGCACTACATTAAAAAGTTTGACTGTTGATATGACGTTGTTTTTATGAAATGCTGTGTTGGTTTTACGCAAGATGTAACGGGACACACACCTTCCAAAAAAGTTCAACTTTTGTCTCATCAGTCCACAGAATATTTGCCCAAAAATAAATGCCGCTCTTTTGAACTTTCTATTCATCATTAAATCCTGAAAAGATATCACGGTTTCCACAAAAATGTGAAACAATTGTTTTCAACATTGATAATAATCAGAAATGTTTCTTGAGCAGCAAATCAGCATATTAGAATGATTTCTGAAGATCATGTGACACTGAAGACTGGAGTAATGATGCTGAAAATACAGCTGCGCATCACAGGAATAAATTACATATTACAATATATTCAAATAGAGAACAGTTATTTGAAATTGTAATAATGCAATAAAATTCCACAATATTGTTGATTTTACGGCATTTTTGATCAAATCAGAGATAGTGAGTTTCTTTTAAAAAACATGTCTATATCATACTGAGCCCAAACGTTGAAACTATAGTATAGTATAGTATAGTATAGTATTTCCAAACTAGATTTTGTAATTAAAATGTATTATTGAGAGGAACACCTTAGGGATGAATAGATCATAATTTTCCATATTCATTTTCTAAAAATTGTGAAATGAATGGGTTCAAATTAACAAGACTATGAAGAAACCACATTTTATTTTACTTCTTTAATAATTACTTTACATAACTGTAAACCTCATAATGAGTCCTGATAGTTTTATCTACACAAAACAGTATTTTGTATGAAACTAGGCACTTCACACAATCCTCCTTCAATCCTCTGACAGACAGACAGACAGACAGCGAATGCTCGGTGTTCCTGCAGCAGTTTGAAACGTTGCTTAAAGTTCTAATCTACAAATCAGAGCTTTAATGCTAAATAAAACTCTCTGCTTGTCCAAACATTTATTAACCGTTAAAGTGTCCATTAGTAACGAGTCCTTTCCAGACGTGGCTTACATGCGGTGGATCCCGTCGTGGTCGATGAACTGTTTGAGGTTATGGAGGTTGTCCCACCACTTGAAGAGGAAGGTTTCTGCGATCAGGCTGAACCAGGGCGTGATCTCCAGCTCTTTATTCTTGGCTTTCTCCAGGATCTCCTTCAGCTCCTCTTTGGACACGTAGCAGTGGCTCTGGATCTCGTTGGGGTCTGGATTCAGATCCACGTCTTTCTGCATGAAGAGGATGTAGTCGATCTCGTGCTCGCCCCAGACGCCGTCTGACTGGGCTTTGTAGTGGATGCGGGTCAGGTAGGTCATCTCTTCTGGAGGCACCTGGGACAAGCAGCAGGTTAGCCCTGAACATCCAGATTTCTGAAGCCATAAATAATGCGACACACATTTTTTAGTACAGGGTTTCTGCAGGTCTTACGAAGGTAAATTTGAGACTTTTTAAAAACCCTTTAGAGACTAAGTTAAGAAAATGTAAGGAATAAATGGAAAGGAATGGAACCCGACGTCAATATGTTCTCTTCATTACACTACCGGTCAAAAGTTTGGGATCAGAATGATTTTTAATGTTTTTTACAGGAGTTTCTTATGCTCATCAAAGCTGCATTTATTTGATCAAAAATACAGGAAAAAATGTTATATTGTGAAATATTATTATGATGTAAAATAACGTTTTTCTATTTTAATATACATTAAAATCTAATTTATTTCTGTGATGCGCAGCTGAATTTTCAGCATCATTACTCCAGTCTTCAGTGTCATGTGATCTTCAGAAATCATTCTGATATGCTGATTTATTATCAGTGCTGGAAACTGTTGCTGCTTAATATTTTTTTGGAACCTGATACTTTTTTTTTCAGGATTCTTTGATGAATAAAAAGTTAAAAAGAAGAGCATTTATTTAAAATAGAAATCTTTTCTAACAATATACACTACAGTTTAAAAGTTTGGGGTCAGTAGATTTTTATTCTTTCTTTTTTGAAAGAAATTAAAACTTTTATTCAGCAAGGATGTGTTAAATTGATAAGAAGTAATAGCAAAGATTTATATTTTGAATAAATGCTGTTCTTTTTAACTTTTTATTCATCAAAGAATCCTGAAAAACGTACCGCAGTTTCCCCCAAAAATATTTGAATATAGAATTGATAATTCTAATTCTAATAAATCAGCATATTAGAATGATTTCTTAAGGATCACGTGACACTTTATACTGGAGTAGTGGCTGATGGAAATTCAGCTTTGCATCACAGAAATATGTTATAATGTCTAAGGGAAGAGACAATGAGTTGTATTATTAAAAATACAACTTCTAACAGATCTTCATTACTTTTTAATTCATTTTTAAAACTATTACTGTACATCTGATCGCATTGTAAAAAAACTGATGTTCTTGCTGAGTATTTTTATCTTGCAAATGACTAAAGATAATAAGTCTTCTTTTCTGAGAAATTAATCAAAATGACGTGAGAAATTAAAAGAAAAATAAATATCAACTTAATTCAAAGGGAAAACACGTTTTCATTCCTCATCGGCAGATATTTGTTCGTTAACTAGGATTATTTTTCTTCAGTATCTCAAAAAAATAAAACACGAGTTCAACTATCTAAATTTTGCATCTTTATTTAAAGATGTTTAGATATTTGTATTGGAAAACAAGACAACAATACTTAGAAAGATATTCAGATTTTAGTAATGCATGCAAGATTTAATGCCATGACTTTTTGATTTGAAGACTTTCTGCACTGATGGAAGACTTTTTAAGGCCTTCATTTGTGGAAAAGGAAATCGAGACTTTTTAAGACCCGCAGAAACCCTGTGGAACACAGAAATAACTTTTACTTAGTGCTGGGCGGTATGACCAAAAACTGATATCACGGTATTTTTCAAAATTATACCAGTTTCACGGTACATGAAGGTATTTTTTTTTCATGCATGACCGGGTGTTAACCATATTTTCTACTGACTGAGAGAGGAAATACTGAGGAAATACTTAGAATGCCCTATTTTACGGTCATGATGAGTGAATATTGGTATACCGCCCAGCACTACTTTTACTGTACTTCTGATCACACTGTAAAAAAACGAGCAGTTCTTCCTCTGCATTTTTGTCATTTTCCAGTGCATGTTTAAAGATTCTTAAGTCAAGATACATTTACTCGAGAATCAAACTGATAGAAGATAAGAAATCTTGTTTTCTGAGTGAGTTTATGAAGGAAAAGACGAAATTTTTCAGCAATACACACAAGATTTAATGCCATGACTATGAATTGAAGATTTCTGCTTGCTTTAAGACTCAGTGCTTCACGAGGCTTCATTTGCCCATCACTGGTCTCAGTACCTGATCGGTGGGAACGCCGAGCTCAGCTTGCAGGCGTCTCTGTGCGGCGCGGCGGACCCCGATGGCGTCCTGCTCCTCCAGTTCACTGGCGGTGTGGAGAGGGTGACTGCAGCAAGTGTTGGTAAAACAGCCTGGAAAAGCATATCAAACAAGCTAAACTTTATTTCAGCTTGTGACAACATTTGAAAAAGAATAACTACAGCTCTAAAATCTATGGAAGCCCGTTTCCGTCACTGAATAAAAAAAATAAAAGAGGTAATTGCGACTTTCTATCTCACAATTCTGACTTTTTTTCTCAGAATTGTGAGATATAAACTCGCAATTCTGAGAACATATCAGTCTTTTTTCCCCCCTCAAAATTGGACTTTAACTCGCAATTGCGAGTTTGTATCACGCAATTCTGAGGAAAAAAGTCAGAATTGCAAGAAAAAAAAGTTTATAACTCACAACTCTGTGAAAAAAAGTCAGAATTGTGAGATAAAAAGTCGCAATTACCTTTTTTTTTTTTCAGTGGCGGAAACGGGCTTCCATAAAAATCTGATTGGATGAGCCATATTTAATTTACGCTCACCTCTCCGTATTCTATATCAGAAAGACCAGATACCTACAGCATATTACTTGTTGGACAAATTAGTTATTGTGATAATAATTATTTATACATTGAGAAATGTATTGAACATTGGTGTTTTTGGCATATCGCCAACATTTTATAATAGCAAGGATTAGGCTATTAAGCCATTTTGTGCTATGTCTAAGTGAAAACCAACGGTTTGATGGAACAGAGAGCGAGTACTTAGGGTCAGATTTACTCAATTTAGCATTAAACCGCAGTCCCATGAAAGTACAGATGGGAGTGGAAACTCCTACAAATGCACATGCAATAAGGCCAGCCACAAAAACAACTGTCTTTTCATTGCTCAGTGTTACTGTGTGTCTTGAAAGTAGTTTTTTAATGCCAAAAGAGGGGTTGTGCTGGTCTAAGCTGGTACTAAATCTGGCCCTCAGTGTCTTCCTCAACAGTTGTGCTACTATTTGCCATGTAATCACACATTTATGAAGAAAACCCCCTTACAAAATTAGTATTTGATTTCTGTGAAGAATTAGGAAATGAGAAAAAGCATCCAGTGTTGTTCACGCGAACTAAAACGAAACGGTTTTGGTAACTGAAGTAAAGCTGAGATACAAGTGAATGTTGCCTAAAACATTAAAATGACTAAAACTACAATATAAATAAATTAGTTTAGATAGAAATACTGACAAAAGCACATACTAAAGATTAAACCAGCTAATACTAGTAGATAATTAAAAATAGGAATAACTAGTATATAAATAACATTAAAATACCAGTGACAGACCTGGAAAGGTGATTTTGGCATTGGATCTCTGCTGAAGGAGCAGCTTTTCCTCGCTGTTAAACAGGAAAACACTGAATGCTCGGTGCAATAATCCTGTCAGTGAGGAAGCAGGGAAATCATCTAATTGATGACTTTATATATTCAATACTAAATAAATAAATAGTAAAGCTTGTTAACATGCACATGCATTATAATCAACAGTAAAATATCATGCACCTTTCTCAATATTTGAGTTGAGATGGCAGTTTTTCTTGCTGTCAGCTCCAATCTTCCTGTCATCGTCGTCGATGAGGATGCACATCTCTGCAAGCAACTGCACCTGCTTCTCATCCAGATGATCCGTGTTAATCTCCGGCATCCTGACCCCACTGCAAACACACAGACTCTTTCACCTTCACACTAAAGCATGCTTTAGAATGCACACATTTCACATAATAATTATTAAACAAATAGAAGACAAATGCTCCAAAACAACCTAAAACAACATTTATTTTTGCATTTTGGTAAACCGATAACAACATTTAGAACATACTAATACATACACTTAATTGTTTAATAACTAAATAATGTAATGAATAATAGTTAAATATATATATAAAAAAAAATTAATTAAATAACACTGAAACACATTTACACTTAAAAAAAGTTTAACATATTAGGCAAATAGCATAGACGTAATAGCAAAGAACGTAAACATAATAATAATAAACGACACTTACATATTTTACAATAATTATTACTAAAAAAATCGAGAAATATTAATTTAGCATAGTGCTAAATTATAAGGACACATTATTTAGGCCCTGTAAGATCAGTAGCTGATAAAGGGAGTTGTATAAATGTTCTGAAGATGTTCGCTGCACTCACCTGTGGAGCTGCGTGTCTGTGGAGCAGGTAACAGTAGACGCAGAGCTTGAGCTCGAGCAGCGGCTTTATTTACTCTGACGGGCCGCTCAGCCGCTGATCTGCGCACCGCCCATAACCCGCGCCATGACCAATCACAGCCCAGCTCTACCAACACGCCATCACACCACGCGCTGCTGCGCCGCTGCTCTACAGCTCAACGATAAAGCAGCGCTTCACACACTCACGCTGCAGGACTGCTAACGCTCGAGTCTTTAGTAGCGCACGCACAGCGCTAAACTGATCACTGCTCGAGTCTGACGATCACACCGATTTCCGCCTACAGATGACGTTTCATGCCAAAGGTTTTGATTGGTTGTTGGGGGTGAAGCCGTCCTCGGATTGGTGAATATTCATCTAGGCTGTCTTCCGGGTGTGGTTGACGGGAAAAGCTTTGGAAAATCAAGAAATGACATTAAACGAAATAAAGGCTTTTGCATAATATTAATTACAGTAACGTAACTGTTAACAGTTATGCGGGAAATCACACATTTTAAGACAATTTAAAAAATCAATCAATAATAAGAATAAGAATAACAACAACAGCAACATTAATATTATTTAAAAAAACAATAAGGCTATATTTTTCACATGAAATATTCGGAACATGATATCAAATACAGTAATTTATTGTTTAACAGTTATACTGGAAATATCAGCACACAGATACACAATTAAAAACAATCAAATAAATACATTTTTAATAATAATAATAATAACATTTAAAAGATATTTAAAAAACACAGTCGTAATCAGTGATTTAACTGATGTTAACGATTTAATAAATACATAAATATTTCACGAGAGATTGTATTTTCATCTGACATCTCATGTAGCTTTTGCATAATATTAATTACAGTAATTTAACTGTTAACAGTTATGCGGGAAATCACACATTTTAAGACAATTTGAAAAATCAATCAATAATAATAATAAGAATAACAACAACAGCAACATTAATATTATTTAAAAAAACAATAAGGCTATATTTTTCACATGAAATATTCGGAACATGATATCAAATACAGTAATTTATTGTTTAACAGTTATGCTGGAAATATCAGCACACAGATACACAATTAAAAACAATCAAATAAATAAATTTTTAATAATAATAATAATAACATTTAAAAGATATTTAAAAAACACAGTCGTAATCAGTGATTTAACTGATGTTAACGATTTAATAAATACATAAATATTTCACGAGAGATTGTATTTTCATCTGACATCTCATGTAATCGATTTTTTTTCGCATTTAGTTGACTGTTTAATATATAAAAATAATTTGTATTAGTACACATAGCTTCCATATGTGACCCAAAATAATTTAGTAAATTTCCCTCTGTTGTTTGTGTATGTTATTACATAAAGGCGATGTAAAATTTAACTGTAATCTGAATGATCCGTAATTGAATAATTATGATTTGTTTACAAATGTAGTTGCATATGTGTATTTGTAGAGAAAATCTATGCGTTTTTAGTATTAATACATACCGATGGGGGGGAAGAAAATTCAAGTTGAGACTTTAATTTTGAAGTTTTACATCCGGTCGGAGGCCAGTCTGATCTGTTGTCATTTCCTCTTGCTTCACACTCTGCTGACAGTGTCGGGTTTGATAAAAACAACAACATCAAAGTGTGAAAATCCCGGTGAATTAGTTGACAGATTCAGCAGTGTGTGTTTGTGTGGTCATGCTGCAGGACTCAAACACACAGCGTCCCTCCATCAGCGACTGACAAACGCCTTCAGATCATCTGAAGCGGTCATAAATGTGAGTATCGAACGCAGAGGCGCTAGTGTTTGTCATAATGGAGAATTAACTTGGCTGCTAATCAGGTGAATTACACTTTATCATCATACAGCCGCTGACAGACACACATGACGGCGCTGGGTTAGTGACTGATAACGAGCAGCGTTAGTGCTGTTTTAGCCGAGCAGGCCAGCTGACCTTGCCTCAAACTGCTGTGTGTGTGTGTCAGGGATTTTATACGTTGTGAGACAAGAATAATAAAAGATGACATTTTTTGACGTTGTGGCAGTCATGTTTTCATAAGCGATCTGCAGGAAGTTGTACGTTGTAAAACATTTTAAAACGTATGAAGAAACATCATGCTACTTCCATATTGCCATTTTTGGACAATATACCATGACATTGTTTACATGGTAGTGTTGAGACATGGTATGAGGTGTGTGTGTGTGTGTGTGTGTGTGTGTGTGTGTGTGTGTGTGTGTGTGTGGGGGGGGGGGGGGGGGGGGGGTAGGGCCCCAGCCGTAGAGGCCGAGGCGGGGGTACTATCTTAGTACATTAATTGGAGTTCGTCTGTGTAGTACATCAAACGTTTTTATTTCATAACAGCAACATAACTGTTGTTTCCCATGATATGTTTCTTTTAAATTTAAATTTCACTAGGATCATGTTTTATTTTGTCAACTTTAAATCAAAATTGATATTCTTTTTCTATTTATTGCTTGTCTTCCTATGAACTATTTATAAGTAAATATTATTCCAGAACCAAAAAAAAAAAAGTTTGTATTTTGTAATCTTTCTTTCATCAAAAATGTAATATTCTCTCCATCTCAAAAACAAAGGGGCTATCAGGCTATGAATGCTGAAATAACCTTATAAAATTCATAAGTGCATAGTGTGCTGTATAGTGCGTCGTTTGGGATGCAACTAATGTAATGATTTCTATCTGGGAAGAATTGCATCCAACACAACAGTTTGCATGACAGAACTGCATGATGCTGCAGGTGCATATACTTCATGCATGTTTTTTTTCTTTCATGAGTTGTTCATATACACGCTAACCCCATCAGCTCAAACTTGTCTGTTTTACCTGCTCCATCCGTCCACCTCCTCTCTGTTATTTTAGGTTGTGAGAATGCTGTCACTCCATGCCTGCAGCTTTTCCTCTCTTCATTGTCATGTTTGTGAACCGATAGATGGTGTTGTTTTGTGTTCAGTGCTGGAGTGCGGCCCTGGGCTTCCTGTTGAGATCTTCTTCATCACTTTAAGCGGTCGTCTGAGGATGTGTCTGCTTTCTTTATCATTCACTGCTCTCCATGGCTGGTATTTGTATTTGTATTTTTATTTTGCATGCCCTTTATTTAGCATTATGTTTTTATTTTTTATGACTTGTTAAGATGCTCAGGCTGACAATAACATTTCTATTGTATGTTATTGTGGATAATGGCCTGCTCGCCTGAGATTAACTTTTCATTTAACACTTCATGAACTCGCTTAACATATTCCTTTTACATTAAAATAACATCCATCGCTTCATCTAAAAATGCAAATATGATGGGTTTTCAAAAGAAATGTCCAAGTCGTATTTTACTCGAAAAAGACAAGAAAAAAAGAAATTATATTTTGCATTAAGAAAATGTCAATAATGCAAAAATCTTAATGATCACTTTCATGATAATTAAGCTAATTTCTTCTTATGTTCTTGTTATTGTGATATGATTTTTTTTTTGTTAATGCAGTATAAGAAGATCCAATTCTTAATATTGTAAGGCAATAATAGTAAAAAATTTCACTACAGCAGTGTGATGAAAAATACTGTGAAGCAAAAATCTTTGTTTCTGTAATGCGAAAAAAAAGAATTATTTTCAAACATTAATTAAAACATTTTTTTTTTTTACAATATATAAGCCTATATATACTGTCAAAAATGTCCAGGACGTATTTCACTGTGAAAAAAAAAAAAAATGTCCTGGACATTTTATTAGATTCATCTTGACATTTCTATTCGAGCTTCTTTTGAACATTTCAATTTTATTATGATGTATGCTTAACTAGCATTAAATCAACCTACACCCCTAGTAAAGACAACATATACCTCCAGTATGTCATCAACAAAGGCTTACTTTAAGTTTCCTCCCTCAATGTTTAACTTGTTATTTACACATCACATACAGAAATAGTGTATGCAGCATAGTGTCCAACAAAGGACACATTCTACTCCTCCATTGCTGTAGGGTGAGGCCAAACCTGCCGTTTGATTGCTCAGTTTCAGGTAGGAAGTGCGTAGAGGGACGTCACTGAGGAGTGATGCCTGTTGAAAGTGGAAACAGTGCAGCCGCCCGTCAAGTCAAACAGAAGCGCAAGTCGCACAGTCTCTCCATTAGGAGGACCAACAGCACCGAGCAGGACAGGCCAGGCATGCAGAGAGACATGCTGGAGGGACAGGTACGTTGTTTTTTCTCTTTGTTTCTGAAACTCGCATGAGCACGTATAGATCCCGGTTTGAAGTTCGTGTTTTTCATTTGATGAACTCTATTGTGTGAGCGACGAGCATGCTGTCATGCCCAGGTGAACAGTCAAGAATGACACAAAGCCAGTTCTGTGACATTGTTTGTAAAAAAAAAATGTTGACATTCAAAAAATCATGACAGCTGGGATATGGAAGTATCCGTGTAAACACGTGTCATGTTGTTTTTGAACAATTTGCTATTGTTTTAGAATTTAGTTGAATTTTAAAAAGAAAAATGTTTCAGGACATAATGTATTTTAGACGTATTCCATTTCCAGGAAGCCAAAGTTGATTGATTAACTAAATGTTATTATGGAAAAATAAAAAATGTAAATGAAAACATTTTTTTCTTAACCCCTTAACTGTCACCCCACTTTTTTTTTAAATAGGCATGCAGTTGCACTATCCAAACTTAAATTGTTGTAATTTATGAACACTTTGGAATACAGACATAAGGTTGGTCTCTTTTTAAAGAAGAAAATCAGCAGATTCTTTCAAATTTAAAAAAAAAATTAAAGTATCAAAAAGTTATGGTAGTTTAAATTTACTGTAAAGAAAATGCACTATATTAATTTAATTTTATTTTATATATAATAAATATTTGACATAACAGGTTTTACCCTAAAATTGGTATCAAATTAAAGCCTTATGTCTAAATAAGGTATGTTCCAAATTTGAAGTTGATATGAAAAAAATTGAGGTTCCTGTGAGATTTTATTTAGTGCGTTATACCACAAACAGCCACCGGGTGCCATCCAAACTCCATTGAATTTTTTTAATGCATTTTTCTGTCACAAATGTCTAGATTTCTCAGTCAATATTACTTCTATCACAAAATATGGAATCCTGAGACTCGGACCTTTCCAATGATATGTTTTTTTGTCAAAATTATAAAAAGGTTTGATTCTAAAAGACCGTAATGCGTTTTGTAATATGACACTTGACACCGCCTACTAAGGGGGAGGAGACCGCCAAAAGATCCCATTTCCATG